TATTTGCCAGTCTTTAAATGGACGATTTGGGCATACGAAGAAAAAATGTTGATTATGATGTAAATTTTTGGATCTATTTGTGTGATTTCTATTATAAATTGCTGAGGGAAAAGAAAGCGAAAAAAAAAAGAAGCGTTTTGGCCTCCATAGTTATCGGCCTAACAGAGCGTATAATGTTATGGGAGTACAAATATTACTGAACCATTTTTCACAATTGTTCATAACGATCAAAAACTTTATCAAGTTGCTCATGATTGCCGTCAAAGGAGAGGAGCAAAACAAAGAATGAATGTTTTCTGAATTTGGAGAAATGCTTTGTTTGCATTTTTGCCTTTTGCCTTTATGCTTTATTGAAGTCTTTTGATGAATGAAAAACAGCGTAAAAACTATCGTCAAAGAGGTAGCACAGAAAAATCCCCTTTGTCTCCCCAGTTTTATTCCATTTTTTCTTTCTTCATTACACTTTTACTGATGATAACTGTTTGTGAAGTACAATGAATTAAGCAGAACAAAGTTGTCATGTTTTATTTATATTCAGTTCTCTGAAAGCTTCATTTAAATAATTCTCAGTAAAGTACGAGGGCGAACGAAAAAATAATTTAATTTGATTGTTGTTATTCTCGTTGTTGTTGGTTAGTAGGTTGCTCCTGTTTCGTTGAGGGAAAAAGCCTAACTCTTCTTGCGGTGGTTCCCGCGGTAAAGGTATATTTATCTTGCGTAGGGGTCTCCTGTTTTTAAAATTGTCTACTAGAAGAACAGTGGAAATATCTTCGCTTAAACTGGTAGCTACCGGGGTCAAATTACATTGTCAATAGCACTTGAATTCGTAATCTTTGGTGTGAGGCAAGCATCGGAAATTCGAAATTGTCCGCTATAGCTTTTCGTAAAGGATTTTCGTTTAAATTCATGGCGATTTCATTTTTGGACACCTATGACGGCAATAATGTTTATCCTCTTTTTCATATAATCAAGGTACTTCTATTTTTCACCATGCGAGAAATCTGTTCATATCTCCAGTACTACCTCTCAGGGTTTCTAGTTTTTTTTGTGCCTTCGCAGTTTGAAAAAAGAGTTTCATGTGACGAAATTTGAGCGTTCTAGCAGAAGTCAGACTGACCCTGCACAGATGTTTTTTAAATTCCGACTAGTCACCAGAGAGGAGTCAAAAGCTAGGTACAAGAAAAATGGAAAGAAATATAGGCAAAAAATTCAAGTGCCATAAACTCCAGTAGTTGTTACTATACTGGAGGCTTTGTTCTGAATCATATTACACATATATCGATCGCCTGTGCAGTCACTCACAAAGACGGTTTTATATCTGAGGGGACGGTTTTTACGACACAGACTCATACCATTATTATAACTTGTGAAGAACATCGAATGGTAGCGAAGGTAATGGCTTTTAGGTTAATTAGATAATGACGGCAATTAAGAAGGGGAATTGGAAGAAGGAAGAAAAGTAGCGAAGTAGGTTCATCATCCCAAGGATTTATAAAACCCTTGTAAAACTTCATTTCATAGTAACACTGTAAAAGGCAAAACAGGAAAAGTGTTTTTCTAATATGCGTAGGGTTCATTGATCGTCTGCCTCCTCTCCTCATTACCCTTAACTGTTTTTTTTTTCACTCTATTATGAATCTAGCACTTATCTAGGGTCTCTTCGTGTGGTTGGAAATCTCTAATTGCAAAATACGCGCAAAGTAACAACTTCCCCTGATGGCATATTAGAATTCAGCTTTTTATTCGTTAAAATGTACATTTATTTCAACTTTTTGCAAAACTTAGTTTATAATTGTTACTGGTGTTTTTTTAATGTACTCTATCACTTTTTTGACGATCGCTATTAGGTAAGGTCTGAATTAGTCGGCAAAAGCCAGAAATGAAAGAAAAAGTTGCAAAGAAGAGAGAAAACAACTAATCTTTTTTTCTAAAACGATCGTAAACACTTCAACTTAGCAACAAAAACAACACCAGAAGATTCTAGCTGAACAACTTGTAAAGTTGATGCAAAACAAAGTGTTGGTGACTAATCACTTGTATCACCTGATGTCAATGTCGTTCTAAGTATTACCCTGTTTACATCTTTTATGTAATGATGACAGTCATCGTCATTAGCTTCATAAACAGTCATTGTTCAGCTCACCATAATCAGCGGTGATGACCTTTGGAATGAGCAAAAAAGTAATAGCAAAGCGATAATGTTTATTGATCACAGTGATACATACAGACACCTACACATGTAAATTTTTTATTTGTGATCACATGAGTATTTTGGGTAACAGATAAACAGTTTTTTCATTGTAAACTATTATAAGAACATCAATTTTGTTGTGACTCATTCTAGAGAGAAAAGAACCCAACAATGGCAATAAAAATACTAAAAAATAAAAAAATAAAAAAGAAAGCCTTCAACATATTTTTATTGTCGAAAATCATTGTTCTAATTCTGTCATTTGGTGTTATTCTTTCTTTTTGTTTTTTACCCTCTCTTTTCTCTCTTCTATGTTTTTTACCGGTAGTCACACTTTAACGGAGAATTATTTAGCAAAACGAAGGGAGGGAAGACAGAAGATCAGAAACCATTTCGTGCATTATTTTTACAACAGTTCTTTGGCTTCCTGTGTTAACACATGAAAGCGTCTGCCAACGTTACTACGTTCACAGTTTCCTTTAGTGGAATAACACAGCTACAGTAACATTCGATTTCTCTCTAAAGTTCCTTTGAGGACCTATTCGGTACTTAGGTTTCAGAGAGTGGGGTCATGGATTCATCACTGTTAAAGTAACATCATTATAGAGCTCCCAAGCAAAGTACTGTTCTCCACTGGAAAATAAATGTTACAGCAAGTTGTCCACCGTCCAACCAGCTTTCTCTCCCCTTCACTCCTGCCTCCCACCAATCCTTATCTTAGCCCTTTATCTGTCACCCCTCTACCTGTGATTATTAAATCAAAATCAATAGAAAGTAGCTTCCTGACATCAATTCACCAATCACGGCTACAGCTACACTGAAGAGTAAATTAAGAAAAAAAAAAGGAAAGAAATAGGAGAACTCTTTTTCTTGTTGCACCCCACACCCATTTTAGATCAGTAGTAATGCTCATCTTCGTCTTTCCTCGTCTTTTTTTGATTCTTCTCGTAACGATGGTTTTGCAGCTTATCTGCATATATTGATGAGTACAGTGCTGTACCAATTTCCAGGCTTTCTTCCGCTTCACTGAAATGAAGGACAAGGTAAGCCATAAGCAAAAAAACAGAACGAACGAAAGGAAAGGAACAATTTTCTTTAATTTTTTTTTGCTCATATTTACTTTTAGAAGAGTGCTTCAAGGATGCATCAGGAAAAAAGGAAACAGGAAGAAATTTTTCGAACTACATAAAAAAAGATGGGGAAAAGAAATTTGCTAAATAATAGACGAAAAAAACTCCCCTTTTAATATACCTCAAACTGCTAAAACATAACATCATTCCGCAGTTTATTTTCCAGGCAGCTAATTTTTTTTTTCTGCTTCATTCTTTTACCACTTTTTTTAAAACAATATTTGAAGAAGAATTCGGAAAGGCCAAAAAATAGGAAGATATGACCAAATATGACCAACGTAGAAAGAACTATTCTTAAAATTTGACGTGGATCTAAGCTGACTTTTCACCTATTTTCAAATCATCAGATTTCGGCAACTTTTGCCTCTCAACAGTTTGTCAGATTACATTCGTTATCTGTCACATGTAACAGACTTATAAAGACGAATCATATACTTATTTCACAGTTTTCTGTATTTTTAAATGTTTCTCAGTAGCAGAACTGAGAAACTGTTGCCGTTGTTTTCACTATTACTGCTGGTCAGCAGCTTTGCAGCTTGATGAAAATTTTCGCTCATGCTGGTGACCACTCACTAATCGTTACTGTCCACATTTCAGTGGCGGTCAGCAAACTTCCAACATATAGTTTAATTCTTCGTACCTTTTTCTTCTATTATCATTCCTGCTGGCTGATACGAAAGATAACAGAGTTCATAGATCAAAACAACCTGTCACATTTATATCGATTTTCTTTTTTCATTTTATGGTAACAGCGTTTGTGTTTTCAAAAAAAAAAAAAAAAA